GCAGCATTTGGGTTTCAGTATATATACAGTATCTCACAAAAGTGAGTACACCCCTCACATTTTTGTAAATATTTTATTATATCTTTTCATGTGACAACACTGGAGAAATGACACTCTGCTACTATGTAAATTAGTAAGTGCACAGCCTGTATAACAGTGTAAATTTGATGTCCCCTCAAAATAACTCAATACACAGCCATTAATGTCTAAACCGTTGGCAACAAAAGTGAGTACACCCCTAAGTAGAAATGTCCAAATTGGGCCCAAAGTGATAATATTTTGTGTGGCCACCATTATTTTTCAGCACTGCCTTAACCCTCATGGGAATGGAGTTCACCAGAGCTTCACAGGTTGACACTGGAGTCCTCTTCCACTCCTCCGTGATGACATCACAGAGCTAGTGGATGTTAGAGACCTTGCGCTCCCTCACCTTCCGTTTGAGGATGCCCGACAGATGCTCAATAGGGTTTAGGTCTGGAGACATGCTTGGCCAGTCCATTACCTTTAACTTCAGCTTCTTTTGCAAGGCAGTGGTCATCTTGGAGGTGTGTTTGGGGTCGTTATCATGTTGTAATACTGCCCTGCAGGCTCAGTCTCCAAAGGGAAAGGATCTGCTTAAGTATGTCACAGTACATGCTGGCATTCATGGTTCCCTCAATGAACTGTAGCTCCCCAGACCAGCAGCACTCATGCAGGCCCAGACCATGACACTCCCACCACCATGCTTGACTGTAACCAAGACATACTTGTCTTAGTACTCCTCACCAAGTTGCTGCCACACACGCTTGACACCATCATAACCAAATAAGTTTATCTCGGTCTCATAGGACCACAGGACATGGTCCTTAGTCTGTTTGTCTTCAGCAAACTTTGCAGGCTTTCTTGTGCATCATCTTTAGAAGAGGCTTCCTTCTGGGATGACAGCCATGCAGACCAATTTGATGCAGTGTGCGGCGTATAGTCTGAGCACTGATAAGCTGAACCCCCACCCCTTCAACCTCTGCAGCAATGCTGGCAGCACTCATATGTCTATTTCCCAATGACAACCTCTGGATATGACGCTGAGCATGTGCACTCAACTTCTTTGGTCGACCATGGCGAAGCCTGTTCTGAGTGGAACCTATCCTGTGAAACCGCTGTATGGTCTTGCCCACCGTGCTGCAGCTCAGTATCAGGGTCTTGGCAATCTTCTTATAGCCCAGGCCATCTTTATATAGACTAACCATTTTTTTAGATCCTCAGAGAGTTCTTTGCCATGAGGTGCCATGTTGAACTTCCAGTGACCAGTATGAGAAAGTGTGAGAGCGATAACACCAAATTTAACACACCTGCTCCCCATTCACACCTGAGACCTTGTAACACTAACGAGTCACATGACACCCGGGAGGGAAAATGGCTAATTAGGCCCAATTTGGACATTTTCACTTAGGGGTGTACTCACTTTTGTTGCCAACGGTTTCGACATTAATGGTTGTGTGTTGAGTTATTTTGAGGGGACAGCAGATTTACACTGTTATACAGTCTGTACAGTTACTACTTTACATTGTAGCAGAGTGTCATTTCTTCAGTGTTGTCACATGAAAAGATATAATAAATTATTTACAAAAATGTGAGTGGTGTACTCACTTTTGTGAGATACTTTTTATATATCTTATATTGTTAATGTGGTTATATAGGTTATATATGCATGAGTTTATTGCATAAGAGGTATTTTTCCTGGTGTGGAAAACAGTGTACAGAGCTAAACTTTGCAGGTGGGCCTATTTTTGTGGGAGTAGGGGATTAGCCAGATTTTTGACAAAAATGCATTAAACGGAGAAAACAAGCTAAACATTCACATAAGTATTTGAATCCTTAGCTCAGTACTGAGTTGAAGCACCACTGGCAATGAATACAGCCTCCAGTTTTTGGGGATATGATATGACAGGCTTTGCACACATAGATTTGGAAAGTTTCTGCCATTCATATCTGCAGATCCTCTCAAGCTCTGTCAGTTTGGATAAGCATCATTGGCGATTAGCAATTTTCAGGCCTCTCCAAAGATGTTTGATTAAGTTCAAGTGAACGCTTTGGCTGGGTCACTCAAGGACATTCACAGAGTTGTCCCTTGTGTTGTCTTGCACGCTTTGGGTTATTTTCCTGTTGGAAGGTAAACCTTTGGCCCAGTCTGAGGTGCTGAGTGCTTTGAACCATGTACTGATTAAGGATATATTTGTATTTTGCTGTATTCAGCCTTTTCTCAACTGTGACCAGTCTCCTGGTCCCTGTTGCTGAAAAACACCCAAGGTATGATGCTATTGTACTGGAAGGGCTGGCCTAGCCTGAGGACCTGACCACTCTGGACCAAGTTTTCATTAAGTATATGTCTATATTTTGTTGCATTCACATTTTCTTCAACCTCAGAACCTCAGTCCCCCAGTCCCTACTGCTGAAAACACTACCAAAGCATAGTGCTACCACAAAATATTGCACAGCTGATTTGGTACCTGGTTTCCTCCAGACATGATGCTTTGGATTGAAGCCAAACTGTTCAATCACCATTTCAGCTGATCAACGATACTTATTTCTCACAGTCTGAGAGTCCTTTAGTTACTTTTTTGCAAATTCCAAGTAGGTTTTCAAGTGTCTTAAGTGAGTAAAGGCTTCTGTCTGGCCAGGCTCTCATGAAGGCCATATTAGTGGAGTGTTGTAGTGATGGTTATCCTTCCACAATGTTCTCCAATCTCCACACATGATCTCTGGAGCTTACCCAGTGTGACCTTTAGATTCTTGTTCATCTCTATTACCGAGGCCTTTCTCCTACATTTGCTCAGTTTGGTCAGCCGGACAACTCTAAGAAGAGTCCTGGCTGTTCCAAACTTCTTCCATTTAAGAATTATGGAAGCCATAGTGCTCTTGAGAACCTTCAATGCAGCTAAAATGTTTTGTGGCCTTCCCCAGAACTGTGCCTCAACACAAACCTGTCTCTGAGCTTTGCAGGCAGTCCCTTTACTTCATGACTTGTTTTTTTTCTCAGATATGCATTTAAAACTGTGACCTTAGGTAAACCAAGTATGCCTTTCCAAATTATGTCCCATCTATTGAATTTGCCACAGGTGGACTCCTATCAAAGTGAATAAACATCTCAGAGGTAATCCACAGAAATGGAAGCATCTATCTGAGCAATATTTCAAGTGTCACCGAAAAAGGGTCTGAATATTTATTGTATGTATTGTTTCAATTTAATAAATTTGCTAAGTTTTCAAAATCTGGTCTTGTCTTTGTCATTATGGGATGTTGAAAAAAGAATAATGTAAACATTTGTAGCATAACGCTTGAAAATGTGAGAAATAAATTGAAGTGTCTGAATACTTTCTGCATGCACTGTATATAGTATGATTTAGATATACAGGATGGAAGGATGGGATAGATGTAAAGTGGGGTAAAAATGGAGACTAGGAAGCACAAAATGTGTTCAGAGTCACACACTAAGAACACACAAAAACACCACTAGAAACAATTCAATTAAATTCACATACATAAATTTCAACTCAAAGAAATAGCATGTGTCTGTCGGCACTAAAAATATTAATACATGAATATGCAAGTTAAGTGCATATTCATGCCATGTTTTTCTCCAAATGCATATACTGTTATTTTTAACAAAAAGTAAATAAAATGCTGCTTGCTATAGTGTAATTCCACCACTGTAGCCACGCCACTCCACTTCACAAATATTTTTCCTAAGTGGAAGGTACACAGTGCAGGTCAGCCAAAAAAAAGAAGATACCTGTAAGCTGAGCTGCAGACTTGACAGTCACACTACTCTTATTATTTCTATAGTATTTCAAAACTAACTACATAGTAGTTAGCTGAAAGGGGACAGATAACAAAAGGGCAAAAGCAATAAGAGATTAGCTATGCGGCAGAGCCACGCCAGCAGGTCAGGTCACATTGATCACTGGCTGAGCTGATTAGATACAATCAGGAAGATTCCTTGTTAATAGTGAAACTTCATTGTTGTATCATCTTATTAAAGGGGTGGTTTTTGGATACTGGGGGCAACACCAAGGCGGTGCAACCTTAGTCTCATTGAAACATAACTACTAACAGTTGTACTGGATATGATGCTTGAAGTGCCCTTTTATATTTTTACATTTCTGAGGGACAATGCCAACAGACATATACACCCCATGGTGGCAAATGCCTTATGGAAATTATTTGAAAACACAAAAGCTGATGAGAATCTTTAATATATTTAAACAGATATAAAGAAAAAAATTATTATTACTAAATACATCTATAATAAATAACTTTCATATTACATTGAAATACAAAGCAACCAGGCCATAAGTTACCTTTTTTTAGTGTAATACGGTGACTTATTTCTTAAAACTAATTATTCATTATGACCACAGCCCAGTTTGTTTTTATAAACACACTTCATAAATTAACTCAGCACTGGCTAATTTGGTGCTGATAATTTGAGAAACATTCCCCTGTTCCACATGAAAATTGAGCTACAGATTTGTATCACTTTTATATGAGTGGCACTTCTATAAATTTTGCCTAAAGTCCTGAATGACATGGAGGTTCATTTGGCTAAGCCTCACGTGATGCTGTTATGGACATTTAAGAATTATGGAAAGCCAAGTATTATCGATTACAGGTACCCATGTTTCCTACATATTTGAAACGGTAAAGCAATTGAGATTTAAGAAGAATAATTCTATGATATTAACCTACAGTTAATTTAACAATCAAGTAATATTTTTACTATCTTGCCATATTTTCCTATAATTCCTGTATTACTGATTGAGGATATTTTGTGGATTTTAATTTGAAACCAATGAACAAACACGTTTCTCACCAAATAAAAGGGAATAGTAATTTGACCCAATACCCACTAGATGTTGAATTCTGTTATCTATTGCAAGGGAAGACTAATTTAACATTTAACATTCAAAAATATTCAACAGCACTGTACAATGGGTAAACAAAGCATATAAATTATTGCAACATAACAAGTTTGACATATAGTAAAAAAGTTGATGAGGGCACTTGGCAAATGCCTTGCAATCTTGGTTTCCAATAAAAATACAAGTTGTTAATTTTATTTAATTTTGTTAACTACTTAAAGGAAAATTGCCATCATTTTTGACTGAGCATTAAAAAAATCCATGTAATATAGCATGTGTGTATTATTATTTAAGGAATACACAAATGTTTATCACCTATTTCACTTAATCTCATAGGTTATCCTTACTACATGGATGCAGCCATACATAGCCCTTTTTGTTTTGAAGCAGCAGTCGCCTTCTGGGACCATGCAAAATGTAAAGGTCTGAAACCATTCCATACTACATTTTTGGATTACTGGGGCTTGCACATGATATCAGGATCTGATAATACGTACTCTTAATTATCTGTGCAATTTAATGTCAATAAGCTTTAATTTTATTAAAGAATCACTTAATGGTTAGGAATACAAGGATGTATTCCTTACGCTAAATTGTCCCTCTGCATCCCCTCCACCCTGCGTCCATGAAAGGGTTAACAATACCCCTTTAAACACTTACTTGATTCCAGCTCTGATGTCCCTCGGGGCTTGATCACTCTCCTCCTCATTCAACGTTAGCTGATGAGTAGATCTAATGCCATGAGCATTAGGCTTTACCTATGCTTTACTATGGGATTTTGCTTGACACTAGATGTGCTCATGCAAAGCATTAAGGCATCCAGCATTGTTTCTCGGAGTCAAACTCCATTAAACTGCAGGGAGCACCTCTAGTGGCTGTTTGGTAGAAAGCCGCTAGAAGTAGTCTTAACCCTGCAATGTAAACATTGCAGTATCCCTAAAACTGTATAGTTATATATTATATTGCATGGTTAAGGGAACTGGGACACTGTACCCAGACCACTTCAACAAGATGAAGTGGTCTGGGTGCCTATAGAGTCCCTTTAAAGAAGATAGCCACTCCCATAGATCAAGGATAAATCAATATATGCATCGAAAAAATATTTACTTATATGTCTTTTTGTACAAACTAATACATGTAGATGCTATAAAACATTTCATCTTTAATTTTAACTAATAAAAATATGATTTGTTTCTCTTTAACTGTCAGCTGTTATACATTTATCACTGTCTTCTTCCTATAAGCGTCCTAGTAATGCAGTGATGATTAAAAGTAGAAATCCAAAGGCATCATGGTGCAGTGCAAATAAGGAAATATTTACATATTTATTTGAATAGATGAACATAATAACATACAATGATAATCATGTTAATGCAGTTATGATGTTCATCATTAGAGAGATAAACAGCGATTCATGTCCTCAATGTCCTTTAAGCACCACTCTTGTCCATTAAAACACAGAAAGAGTGAAAAAGATCATCTTTGGAGTGAAGTGGTACTGATGGTCAATGGTTCAAACCATTAATTGTCATTTGTTTTATTTAGAATATAATTAGCATTTCCCCATTGAGGAAACCTTATCACAGTGTTCCACTGTAACAAGTACACTACAAGGTCCTCGGTGTATCCAGGCTTCTTCAAAGTTTATAGATTCCAAAAAATGTCCTTGATTCTTCTGGGCTGATTAAGGTTACATCAGAAACATTTACATAAATAATATCTGAGCTACTCAGGTTGAATACAGCTCCAAGGAAACTGTGTCTTCCCCAGTTGCCCTTGTTGGCACAGTAATGATATTCAACGTTTTCCATAAGTTTCAGTTCATTGGGGTACCGGAAGGGTTTCTTGTACACAACGTGGGACAGCTCCTTATCCAGACAGGTAGTGCCCCGAAAATAGACAGAGGAATAGATGAAGTGAAGACCAGTTTGGTTCACAACCAACCCTCTGTTTTTATACAGAATGCCAGCAGTGAATGCACGTCCAACGGTGTCCTCCCAAGCTAATGGCATACTTCTGCCTTCTTTTGCTGTGATGTCAACAAAAATATATTTATTTTTATTTATCTAGAATAAACATTTAAACAGAATCACACTGTTATCACTAACATATTTAAATAATTAGGAGTGCGTAGACTTTTGTTCCAACAAATGTTTTTCAGAATCAGCTGGCAACTTAACTTTTTTCAATTATCTTTAAATACTTCTTTTACTTTCTTAAGGTTTTCAAAGCAGTGTGTTTTTCCACGTAATAAATTCATTAGTTTACTCATTGGGGATAATCTACAGTTTTAGTTTCTAAAATGTAATAATACCTGTTAACAATTATATATACAGATTTCCGATATGAACAAGAATGTCAAATCTGAGAGCAGATAATAAAAAAGAAAAATACTTTAAAATATGGAACCCTTGGATAAACTATTGGTTATGAAAAAGAGAGGCAATATGATATATAAAATTATATATTTATTGTTTAATTATAATTGGGTTGCTATGCCACTATGCAGCAGTTGAACGTGTAGCAGTTGAATTTGCAGTGGTTGAACATGCAGTAGTTGAAAACGCAGGAGTTGAAGATGTAACAGTAACTGAAAATTTTATGAATTCAATTTACAGTAACTTGAGTTACTAATTTAATCCTATAATGTTTAGACCTAATCCTTTATATTATATGAAATCAGAAGAAGGAGGTGATTATTGAGGGGTACTCAAATAAGAATCAGAGGCATGTTGCACTAAACCTCCCTATTTTTGAAGCTGTTACACCTTTTACTATTCAGTAAAATCCCTTCGATTCCCCGCTGCTTCCATTGTATTTTCATAAATAGACCAGAAAGAATTTATAATTAGAACTGATGCCTTACTTTTATTTTTATTTTATTTTTAATATGATTTGTGTTTTAATGAGCAGTTACTGTGATTGAAATATGTTTGTATGTAATGCATATTATAAGATTAAGAAATAACATAACTGTGATACTACAAACTATTATGGAATATTTGAAATCAGATGTATCAGCTGTAACATGCTTCATGAAAAGAAAATTTTAAAAAAAATTTGATTTGAAATCAACTTGAACAGCTGGTAAAGTGCAAATCTTCACAGGGCAAATGATATCACAAAAATAGTATCTATATTTTTTTGTATAAAATCAGCCAATTTTATCAGGGTAAATTTAAAGAATAATGAGGTGTATCTGTAAAGCTTCAAAACAATTACTACCGTAACATTTGCTTTTACTCCACCAGTTTGTTTGGTGGGAAGTGTTAGTCATTAGTGATGTATGTTCCACCAACCAGCAATGGAATTGCTGATCACCATTTTTCGGGCTATCTGTATATACCTTACTTTCAATAATATTCACATATTAAGCAGGTTTATAAAAGGTTATGGCTTCCTTTTTAGTTTTATATGTCAATTTAATGTGAAGTGAATAAGGTTGTTAAACTAAAGGTTAAACAGTAAGATATCTAAAATAACCAGATTTCTACAACATATGTAAAGAAAGGATTGGCGAAAACAAAACCTCTACAATAGACCTTTATAGAGGCTTCAAGAAGTTAAAAGTTCTAAAAAAATAAAAACCACAAAAGGAAACAGAAGCTCTTCTTGCTAGAAAAGGAATGGGTCCAAATAATTTCCATCCAAGTGATGGGGAAAGTTGATAGTTTCAGATTCTTGTCCAATAAATTTCTACCCTTGATACTATGAAGTGTGATGGGTGGTACCTATCAATTTTTCTCAACATTTACGGCTAAAATAAAAGCTACATTAATAAAAGTACATTACCTGCTATACAAATGAAGAAAAATGTAAATAAAACAAAATTACACTCTAAATATATACATATACATATATAAATAACCTACGTGTTAAATGTGCAGCCAGTCTGGCGGCGTTCTTCTCCGATTGATGATTTTCTAATCCTGTATAAAAAGAATACCAGCAAATTTTAATAATTAATGTTGCATTTATTTTGGACAAAATTTTCCAACTTTGCAAACAAAATCTTTAAATTATTTTAATATTCTTATAAATAGGGCATTCTGTGAGCTAATCAGTTTAGCATTTGCAAATCCAGATTCTTTATGCTATTTAACTGTTCGGTTAAAGGAAATATATATGTAATATAATTTACAACATTGAACATCAATATTATTTGTCCGTTGTGATTTGGAATTTGGCCATTTTGGTACATATGTGTCTGTAGAAAATATCACTATGGATACTTTACAGTTACCATTACAGTTACCATTATGGATACTTTACAGTTACCATAAGGTTTTCTAGTAGTATATTATAGTTAATATAAAGTTATGTCATCATTTTCTTTTGTTTGCAATAAAAGGTAAATTTCAGATAGATCTAATGACGATGGAGGTAAGAATCTAGTGCATGATGATAGTGATTATTTGGTCGTAGTATTGGCCTAAAATCTTAAATTCATTTTGCATTCCCGACAGTTCACACATTAGTGAATAACCCTGTTTGCATTTATTGTACCTCAAAATGACAATGCATAAACATGCTACACATTACTACTCTTCATATGCTTTTGCTTAAGTATGGAAACTTAAGAGGGATGTAGGGGAACAAAACTGGCGTGCCTGGCTGACAATAAAATTAATTAGGGTAAAGCTGACTTTGCAAACTATGCAAATGATCTTGCTGCTTCAGTCTCTCTAACAAGCATGTTCCCTTTCTTCTACACTCCCTGCATACACTTTTTCTCTGTCACACACAGAGAGCTTGTGCCTGCTAGTAAGAAAGTTAGGACAGGTTAGGAGAGGAGTGGACCAGCGAGTGCTAGGGTACAGTCCTTAGAAAGCATAGAGCTAGCGCATCATTAGATGCATTTATGCAAGCTCAGGGAGCTGTCTGCACAGTATGCCTTTGGTTGGTCATCCTTCATGATTGGTAGGCAGCCTGATGTGCATTCATGCCAGGCTGACCATCTAATTTTTCGTGCAGAGAGGCCCCTTTATTGGGCAGGTTTGTCCCTTTGGGCGGTTCTGGTTATGTGATTCACATCAGTGGCCTACCCTTTTACTCCACCCACCAAAATCCTGCTTCCCCGGACACTGATGTTAGGGGGAATGGATTTACTTGAAAGATGAAAGCGAGAGATTAGCATAGAGTATGTGTTTTCTGATTGCTATATCTTGTGAGTTTCCCTTCAGCGCCTCGTAGACCAAATATATGACGTTTGGGAGGTATAACTGTTTTAGTCTTTTCTGTTGATAGGATTCTGTAGTTAGGCCCATCATAATTGTCAGCACCAGGCCCAATGGGCTTTTAATCCAACCCCGGAGT